AGGGCAATTATCAGAGGAAGTCAGAGTAACGTCAGGTGTACCGCAAGGGAGTGTATTGGGTCCACTTCTATTCCTCGCGTACGTAAATGATATTTGGAGGAACATTGAATCGACTATTAGACCTATTGCAGATGACTGTATAATATATAGGAAAATTATAAATAGTAAAGATATAGAAAAGATGCAGATGAATTTAAACAGTCTGGGGGAGTGGGCGGTTGAAAATGCTATGAAAATTAACCCAAGTAAAGGTAAGGCAGTTAGTTTCACGAGAAGTCGGGTGAAGGAACCATTAAACTATTCGTTACGGGACGTAATTTTCAGTTTAGTGTTTTCTCCGTTAGAGTTCGTAAGTTGTGTGCCCTGATGTCGGCCAATCGCTATGAAGATGGGTTATTGATTCACCTGCCTGCAACAGTAAGCAATCAGCATTCTAATTCGGAAATTCTTTTTACACATGCTGCCATCTGTACGCTACCTTCAATTCGAAAGTTCAGTTCCGTAATTTTGGAAATCTTTTTAAATCTTTGCAATTCATATTGTATATTGAATTGATTTTCGTAATAATTGTCACCTGAATGTGTTTTGATTAAATTGTAACACCTTTATTTACTTTATGGTGAATCCCTTGCGTGATTCATTACTTATGAAGCTACAACGCGCATAGATAACCTTAGTCAATATCTGTTCTTCGCCATAAAATTCTTTCTGCAGTCATTTTGTGCATTTGTTAGTCTTATGACGTATCTGTGCACGTATAGACACCAGTTAGAAAATGTATATAAACGTCTGTTTGCATAGTTCTTTTTGATAAAGTCGGATGTTGGTGATCGTGGCCGATTTCGCGTTGCTTCCACCTCCCGACTTTGATACCTTCGTGTGAATACATTACAAGAGTTGTGACACGAATTGGTATGAATTTTTATTAATTACCTATGGCACGACGTCCATACAAAATTTCAGCTATTTTCGACCATCAATGGTATTTTACGAAAATTCGTACATAGCTCGCCATGTTCAGGTGACGCTGATTACCACCGTTTGGTTGGGTTAGGTTAGGTTAGGTTAGGTTAGGTTAATGGGGCATCTGCGCAGTAGGTGATGCGCAGTGCCGTGGTGCATGTTGTCTATTCTAATACATCTTATGAGTTCTGATATCGATTGATTGATATTGAACACTCAAATATTTCAATGTTCTTAAATTATTGAACAATCTTGTGTTTGAGCCTGTATCATAGCTTAATACTTCAAAAATATTACATTGGATACAATACATTTGACCTCGAAAGACTTTTGGCTGACGTCACGTAAGCTTGATTTTATGCAATTGAAGTTGTTGACTTGCATGTGTGGTCGGTTTACTCTTAAGTCTTATCAGTACACATGTTAAAATTGTATTTTAAAATATTTCAAGTGCTTAACACCTTTTTGAAATATTCGGATATTATTGATGGTATCTGATTACGCGTTTCTTCCACCTCACGACTTTGATGCCAGCAAGTGAATTTATTACAAGGGCTGTGACACGAAAGTTTATGAATATGTATTACATACCTGTGGCACGACGTCCATACAAAATTTCAGCTATTTCCGACCATCAACGGTATTTTCGCCATGTTCAGGTGACGCTGATTACCCTTGTTTGGTTGAGTTAGGTTAGGTTAGGTTAATGGGGTATCTGCGCAGTAGGTGATGCGCAGTGACGTGGTGCATGTTGTCCATTCTAATGCATCTTATGAGTTCTGATATCAATTGATTGATATTGAACACTCAGATATTTCAATGTTCTTAAATTATTGAACAATCTTGTGTTTGAGCCTGTATCATAGCTTAATACTTCAAAAATTTTACATTGGATACAATCCATTTGACCTCGAAAGACTCTTGGCTGACGTCACTTAAGCATGATTTTACGCAATTGAAGTTATTAACTTGCATGTGTGGTCTGTTTACTCTTACGTCTTATCAGTACACATGTTAAAATTGTATTTTAAAATATATCGCGTACATTACACCTTGTTCAGATATTGGGATGTTGGTGATGGTGGCCGGTTACGCGTTTCTTCCACCTCACGACTTTGATGCCTGCGTGTGAATTTATTACAAGTGCTGTGACACGAAAGACTATGAATATTTATTACATACCTGTGGCACGATGTCCATTCAAAATTTCAGCAATTTCCGACCATCCATGGACTATTTCGAAAATTCGTGCGCAGGGCGCCAGGTTCAAGTGAAGCAAAATACCCCTTTTGGGTTGCGTTGGGTTAGGTTAGAGGGGCATCTGCGCGGAAGTTGATGCGCAGTGACGTGATGCAAATTGCCTATGTTGAGGCATCGTGTGAGTTCTATTATCGATTGCTGGATATTAAGCACTCTAATATTTCAATGTTCTCACAATATAAGAAAATCCTGTGTTTGAGGCACTTCAAAGATTTTAAGTTTCTTACCTTGTTGTTGACCTCGAATAATCTTGGCTCACGTCACTTATGCATTAGTTCCCGCAATTGTGGTTGTTGTATTGCATTTGATGTCTGCTTACGCTTAAGAATTATTAGTAAACATGTCAAAATTTTATTTTGAAATGTATCGAGATATTACAAAGATAAGGCTTGTCAGACATATATATGTATACATATGCACATAAACGCCACATTTATACACGTCCAACCTCTGTAAATCAGCTACATCTGGAACTTATTTGGCTGTCACCATAGGAAACACACGCCTCTTTTGTGTAGGCGTGTAGTGTCGAATGTTAATTCACGGAGATGAATGCCACATCTCTTCAAGTCACACGCAAATGAATATTTGATCCTAAGTGTAATGTTCTACATGTCTCCATCTTGCATACGTCACTGGAAGGAGAAAGTTCTCTCGTCTTCACTCTACGAAACACACAGTAGTTTAATATGTATCTTATGAAATAAATGATGCTGATTATCCCGATGAAAGTATTTGTGTGAGTAGCGACGTACAAAAGCTTGAAATTGAGAAGTTCAATTACTCTTAGCTAAATTCCAAGACTAACATTGAATCACGGACACTGCACTGTATCTCGACAAAATTCAATAACGACTGACTTTCACTTCCGGGGCTGGAACCGATCTGAAGTATTTGAAAGCTGATGTACACGTCCATCCAATCAAATCGAAGCACGTAATTTCCAGTTTAGTGTTTTCTCCGTTAGAGTTCGTAAGTTGTATGCCCTGATGTCGGCCAATCGCTATGTAGAGGGGTTATTGATTCACCTGTCTGCAACAGTAAGCAATCAGCATTCTAATTCGGAAATTCTTTTTACACATGCTACCATCTGTAGGCTACCTTCAATGCGTAAGAACAGTTCCGTAATTTTGGAAATCTTTTTAAATCTTTGCAATTCAAATTGTATATTGAATTGATTTTCGTAATAATTGTCACATGAATGTGTTTTTTATTCAATTGTAACACCTTTTTTACGTTATCGTGAATCCCTTGCGTTATTCATTACGTATGAAGCTACAACGCGCATTGGTAACCTTAGTCACTATCTGTTTCTTCGCCATAAAATTCTTTCTGCAGTCAGTTAGTGCATTTGTTAGTCTTATGACGTATCTGTGCACGTATAGGCACCAGTTAGAAGATGTAAATAAACGTCTTTTTGCATAGTTCTTTTTGATAAAGTCGGATGTTGGTGATCGTGGCCGATTTCGCGTTTCTTCCACCTCACGACTTTGATGCCTTCGTGTGAATAAATTACAAGAGTTGTGAGACGAATTGGTATGAATATTTATTAAGTGCCTGTGGCACGACGTCCATACAAAATTTCAGCTATTTCCGACCATCAACGGTATTTTACGAAAATTCGTAAAAGCTCGCCATGTTCAGGTGACGCTGATTACCCTTGTTTGGTTGAGTTAGGTTAGGTTAATGGGTCATCTGCGCAGTAGGTGATGCGCGGTGACGTGGTGCATGTTGTCCATTCTAATGCATCTTATAAGTTCTGATATCGATTGATTGATATTGAACACTCAAATATTTCAATGTTCATAAATTATTGAACAATCTTGTGTTTGAGTCTGTATCATAGCTTAATACTTCAAAAATTTTACTTTGGATACAATCCATTTGACTTCGAAAGACTCTTGGCTGACGTCACTTAAGCTTGATTTTACGCAATTGAAGTTGTTGACTTGCATCTGTGGTCGGTTTACTCTTAAGTCTTATCAGTACACATGTTAAAATTGTATTTTAAAATATATCGCGTACATTAAACCTTGTTCAGATATTGGGATATTGGTGATGGTGGCCGGTTACGCGTTTCTTCCACCTCACGAATTTGATGCCTGCGTGTGAATTTATTACAAGTGCTGTGACACGAAAGACTATGAATATTTATTACATACCTGTGGCACGATGTCCATTCGAAATTTCAGCAATTTCCGACCATCCATGGTCTATTTAGAAAATTCGTGCGCAGGACGCATTGTTGAGGTAAAGCCAAATTTCCCTTTTGGGTTGCGTTGGGTTAGGTTAGAGGGGCATCTGCGCGGAAGTTGATGCGCAGTGACGTGATGCAAATTGCCTATGTTGAGGCATCGTGTGAGTTCTATTATCGATTGCTGGATATTAAGCACTCTAATATTTCAATGTTCTCACAATATAAGAAAATCCTGTGTTTGAGGCACTTCAAAGATTTTAAGTTTCTTACCTTGTTGTTGACCTCGAATAATCTTGGCTCACGTCACTTATGCATTAGTTCCCGCAATTGTGGTTGTTGTATTGCATTTGATGTCTGCTTACGCTTAAGAATTATTAGTAAACATGTCAAAATTTTATTTTGAAATGTATCGAGATATTACAAAGATAAGGCTTGTCAGACATATATATGTATACATATGCACATAAACGCCACATTTATACACGTCCAACCTCTGTAAATCAGCTACATCTGGAACTTATTTGGCTGTCACCATAGGAAACACACGCCTCTTTTGTGTAGGCGTGTAGTGTCGAATGTTAATTCACGGAGATGAATGCCACATCTCTTCAAGTCACACGCAAATGAATATTTGATCCTAAGTGTAATGTTCTACATGTCTCCATCTTGCATACGTCACTGGAAGGAGAAAGTTCTCTCGTCTTCACTCTACGAAACACACAGTAGTTTAATATGTATCTTATGAAATAAATGATGCTGATTATCCCGATGAAAGTATTTGTGTGAGTAGCGACGTACAAAAGCTTGAAATTGAGAAGTTCAATTACGCTTAGCTAAATTCCAAGACTAACATTGAATCACGGACACTGCACTGCATCTCGACAAAATTCAATAACGACTGACTTTCACTTCCGGGGCTGACATCGATCTCACGTATTTGAAAGCTTCCTACCAATCGGATCGAACCACATACTTTCCGGTTTAGTGTTCTCTCCGCTAGACTTCGTGAGTTTGTGAGCTCTGCTGTCGGCCAATCGCTGCGTAGAAGAAATATCGATTTACCTGACCGCATCACCAGTCACATTCGGAATGTCTTCGTACACATGCTGCCATCTGTTCGGTTGAGTTGGGTTAGGTTAGGTTAAAGGAGCATTTGCGCAGTAGGTGATGCGCATTGACGTGGTGCAAGTTTTTCTATGCTAAGGCATCGTATGAGTTCTATTATCGATTGCTGGATATTAAAGACTCAAATAATTCAATGTTCTTAATTTATTGAAAAATCTCGTGTTTCAGCCTGCACCATTGCTTTATACTTCAACGATTTTACATTAGATACCTTCTGGTTGACCTCAAAAGACTCTTGGCTCTTGTCACTTTAACTTGATTTTACTCAATTGTAGTTGTTGACTTGCATTTGTGGTCTGCTTAAGCTTACGTTCTATTAGTAAAAGTAAAGTTTATTCCGCTACGTGTCATACAGGCGCTTGGGGTGAGAGGATGTATAGCTCCTCTCTTCCTTGACCTCGGCACTAGATGGGGGTAAGTGGTTAGCATCACGCCCCGGCCGGCTTTCCCCGCCAGAAAAGACCCCGGTACACATTGTAGAGGAGGCTGGAGGTTTAGCTCTGTAAATTTGTGCGCCTCGTTGGATATATCCGCACATGGTTACACTACTAGGTAAATATGGTAAAATATGTGTATGCATGAATAAAGAACATTTGAAGTGTTCGTGGTCGATTTCACGGTACTCCACCTCGCGACTTTGGTGTCTCCGTGCGGCTTTACTACAATATTTATGACATAATGGAGTAAGAATTTTATTACCTTACACGTGGCATGACGTATATTCGAATTTTCAATAATTTCTTACCATCTTTTGATTATTCGTGAAATTGGTGCGCTGGACGCTGATTTCTGCTGACTCAGCATGCCTCGTCCTGGTTTGGTTAGGTTAGGTTAGTGGGTTCATGCGCAGAAGGAGCTGCGCAGAGGCGTCACGTAAGGTGTCCCAGAGTGGACAACGTGTAATCGTGATTATTTTTTGCGTAAATTTAAAATAATCTCTTGTCGGATTCCTTCAAATTCAGAATTTAATGTAGTGCGAAAATCTCATGTAATTGTACTTGTAGGGACATAAGTATTTGGCACTGGTTACCTGTTGAAGTTGTCAGGGACCCTGTCCCTTTAGACGCAGATATGTTGGTTGGTATGCCATCTTGTGTTGTCGACACAGAAAAAAATCATTAAATTATTTATATGCTTTTATTTTAAACTTCATTCAGGAATTACAACCATCACATTCTTCGTTATATAAAATATAAATATATGCATATGGATTAGTTTTACACACTCATATCTGCCGTGTTTCAATGAGTCCTGATTGATGAGATTTACGTGTTACTAACGAAAACATACGACTCCATGTTCCTTACGTCACTGAAATCATGTCCTACTACACTCAATTTCACTGTTGGATTCACACGGTATTTTCTGTCGTAACGCAGCATATTAGCGTTTCCGTTGTTCTGAGTTCATTTATTTTGGTGTCTTAAAGACGGGCCTACGAAATCGTACAGTCCGAAATGATTTTCAGTTACAGCATTTCACTCACGAACTTAACACCTTTCAGCTCCATGAGAAAATTAATACTGGCTGACGACGTGCAGAACCTCGTCATTGACTTGCTGGAATTCAAGACGTGATGCGCGCTGTTATTTATATGTCGTTGCAATTGGGGCGTCACAAGCTATGGTTCAGTTCTCGACCCGGTAGATTGCGCCAATGTTTGATTATCGTAAGTCTATGGGTATCTACGTAGAAGATTGTTCCGTATATGAAGTTGTATCTGTTCAACATCTCGTTGATTTGGATTCGAATGTAGATTTACGTAACGTCGTGTACCTCGCGTGCCAACTATCGTAAATAATTTCTGACAAATTTCGAATTTCGAATCTCAGATAGGGCATTAAATTGCTCAGGGGCCAAAAATCATTCAGTTAAGTGTATTTTGTAGAAATTTATTCTATTCGACAAACATTGCATGCGAGTGTGACGCGATCTCCCTTTGGAAAACCCACTCTCTGTCTTATCACTTTAAATATTGAATTTATTAAATTATGTAAATATGGGCGTCTCGTTGGGTATTTCCGCACATTTGATGCCTGCGTGTGAATTTATTACAAGTGCTGTGACACGAAAGACTATGAATATTTATTACATACCTGTGGCACGATGTCCATTCGAAATTTCAGCAATTTCCGACCATCCATGGTCTATTTAGAAAATTCGTGCGCAGGACGCATTGTTGAGGTAAAGCCAAATTTCCCTTTTGGGTTGCGTTGGGTTAGGTTAGAGGGGCATCTGCGCGGAAGTTGATGCGCAGTGACGTGATGCAAATTGCCTATGTTGAGGCATCGTGTGAGTTCTATTATCGATTGCTGGATATTAAGCACTCTAATATTTCAATGTTCTCACAATATAAGAAAATCCTGTGTTTGAGGCACTTCAAAGATTTTAAGTTTCTTACCTTGTTGTTGACCTCGAATAATCTTGGCTCACGTCACTTATGCATTAGTTCCCGCAATTGTGGTTGTTGTATTGCATTTGATGTCTGCTTACGCTTAAGAATTATTAGTAAACATGTCAAAATTTTATTTTGAAATGTATCGAGATATTACAAAGATAAGGCTTGTCAGACATATATATGTATACATATGCACATAAACGCCACATTTATACACGTCCAACCTCTGTAAATCAGCTACATCTGGAACTTATTTGGCTGTCACCATAGGAAACACACGCCTCTTTTGTGTAGGCGTGTAGTGTCGAATGTTAATTCACGGAGATGAATGCCACATCTCTTCAAGTCACACGCAAATGAATATTTGATCCTAAGTGTAATGTTCTACATGTCTCCATCTTGCATACGTCAGTGGAAGGAGAAAGTTCTCTCGTCTTCACTCTACGAAACACACAGTAGTTTAATATGTATCTTATGAAATAAATGATGCTGATTATCCCGATGAAAGTATTTGTGTGAGTAGCGACGTACAAAAGCTTGAAATTGAGAAGTTCAATTACGCTTAGCTAAATTCCAAGACTAACATTGAATCACGGACACTGCACTGCATCTCGACAAAATTCAATAACGACTGACTTTCACTTCCGGGTCTGACATCGATCTCACGTATTTGAAAGCTGCCTACCAATCGGATCGAACCACATACTTTCCGGTTTAGTGTTCTCTCCGCTAGACTTCGTGAGTTTGTGAGCTCTGCTGTCGGCCAATCGCTGCGTAGAAGAAATATCGATTTACCTGACCGCATCACCAGTCACATTCGGAATGTCTTCGTACACATGCTGCCATCTGTTCGGTTGAGTTGGGTTAGGTTAGGTTAAAGGAGCATTTGCGCAGTAGGTGATGCGCATTGACGTGGTGCAAGTTTTTCTATGCTAAGGCATCGTATGAGTTCTATTATCGATTGCTGGATATTAAAGACTCAAATAATTCAATGTTCTTAATTTATTGAAAAATCTCGTGTTTCAGCCTGCACCATTGCTTTATACTTCAACGATTTTACATTAGATACCTTCTGGTTGACCTCAAAAGACTCTTGGCTCTTGTCACTTTTACTTGATTTTACTCAATTGTAGTTGTTGACTTGCATTTGTGGTCTGCTTAAGCTTACGTTCTATTAGTAAAAGTAAAGTTTATTCCGCTACGTGTCATACAGGCGCTTGGGGTGAGAGGATGTATAGCTCCTCTCTTCCTTGACCTCGGCACTAGATGGGGGTAAGTGGTTAGCATCACGCCCCGGCCGGCTTTCCCCGCCAGAAAAGACCCCGGTACACATTGTAGAGGAGGCTGGAGGTTTAGCTCTGTAAATTTGTGCGCCTCGTTGGATATATCCGCACATGGTTACACTACTAGGTAAATATGGTAAAATATGTGTATGCATGAATAAAGAACATTTGAAGTGTTCGTGGTCGATTTCACGGTACTCCACCTCGCGACTTTGGTGTCTCCGTGCGGCTTTACTACAATATTTATGACATAATGGAGTAAGAATTTTATTACCTTACACGTGGCATGACGTATATTCGAATTTTCAATAATTTCTTACCATCTTTTGATTATTCGTGAAATTGGTGCGCTGGACGCTGATTTCTGCTGACTCAGCATGCCTCGTCCTGGTTTGGTTAGGTTAGGTTAGTGGGTTCATGCGCAGAAGGAGCTGCGCAGAGGCGTCACGTAAGGTGTCCCAGAGTGGACAACGTGTAATCGTGATTATTTTTTGCGTAAATTTAAAATAATCTCTTATCGGATTCCTTCAAATTCAGAATTTAATGTAGTGCGAAAATCTCATGTAATTGTACTTGTAGGGACATAAGTATTTGGCACTGGTTACCTGTTGAAGTTGTCAGGGACCCTGTCCCTTTAGACGCAGATATGTTGGTTGGTATGCCATCTTGTGTTGTCGACACAGAAAAAAATCATTAAATTATTTATATGCTTTTATTTTAAACTTCATTCAGGAATTACAACCATCACATTCTTCGTTATATAAAATATAAATATATGCATATGGATTAGTTTTACACACTCATATCTGCCGTGTTTCAATGAGTCCTGATTGATGAGATTTACGTGTTACTAACGAAAACATACGACTCCATGTTCCTTACGTCACTGAAATCATGTCCTACTACACTCAATTTCACTGTTGGATTCACACGGTATTTTCTGTCGTAACGCAGCATATTAGCGTTTCCGTTGTTCTGAGTTCATTTATTTTGGTGTCTTAAAGACGGGCCTACGAAATCGTACAGTCCGAAATGATTTTCAGTTACAGCATTTCACTCACGAACTTAACACCTTTCAGCTCCATGAGAAAATCAATACTGGCTGACGACGTGCAGAACCTCGTCATTGACTTGCTGGAATTCAAGACGTGATGCGCGCTGTTATTTATATGTCGTTGCAATTGGG